ACAGTAAAGTGCCTTTATGTGCTGGTCACAACGTATTGGATAAATCTCAATTTAAGTCAGGAACCAGTAAAGCTATGCCGCGGGCACCAACAGAGAGATGTGACAGACACAGTCATAAACACATTGATATGTACTGTCAGAACCATGATAATGTTGGCTGTTCTACATGTATGGCAGTTGATCACAGGTAAACTATAGTATTTAAACAAAGATATTTTTTAAGTAAGTATATGGAATGTTTAGTATATAGGCATTTACATAATATTCTTAGACTATTTTTAATATATAACACTAAATAAAATATCATCTCCTCCGTCACCTCATAGCCTCATAAACTGTTTGAATTTATTTTTCAGATTATGTAAGGATACATTCTACATACCAGAATTTATCCAAAACAATACTTACCAAGTTGAATCGAGAGACATTCAAACAAAACTCAAGGAAATAGCCAAGACCCTTGAAAACCAAGCAAATAGATTTAAACAGGATAAACAAAGACTGTTAAAGAGGAGAGCAGAAATACTTGCTGATATTAGAAAATTCCGTCAAGAAATCAATGACCAACTTGACAAGCTGGAGAAAAGTTCTATTGATGAGATAGAAAGTCAAGTCAAATGTCTTGAAGACAAAATCGAGGACGGTTTAAAACAGCTACAAGCAAATAAGTCCAGGATTAGATCAGCTAATGATAAGTTAGCATCTACAAACACAAGTCATTCTGAAGTGTTTGTTTATGTTAAGATTGGAGAAGATGCTGCAAATGTTGCCAATAAATATATGGGACATGCCAAAATAAAAAGTACAGTAGAAGACATACAGTTTCAACCTGACAGAACAATTCTTACACAGATAGAACAAAAGAAGACCCTAGGCATATTATCAGAGAAACCTACAAAGACTGCTGACAATTTATTTCAGATTAAAGGAAACCAAACATATAATGTAAAAGTTAAGTCGGATAATGCCAGTTGTTACATCCGGAGTGCCTGCTGTATGGAAAATGGCACAATAATTCTTGCTGATTACGACAACATGAAGCTTAAACGGTTACACAGTTATAACTATACTGTCACAGACTACTGTGATCTACCTGGAAAGCCATGGCAAGTGTGTATGATCAATAACACACAAGTAGCAGTAACTATTCCATCAAAAAAGGAAGTTCATTTCATTTCTCTAGAAAGAAAAATGAAAACAACAAACAAGATTAACACTGATTTTAAATGTTATGGCCTTGCATTTGCAAACAATAATTTATATATCTCAGATGGTAACACATCAGTATATATGTATACATTGTCTGGTAGGAAACTTCATCAGTTCAGTAAGGATCAATCAGGACATAAGTTGTTCTCTAACATATGCAGCTTAGCTGTCAGTAAGGATGCTACTATGATTTATGTTGCTGACTACTTTAATGGACTGATAGTACTGGACAACAATGGTCAGGTTATTACATCATTTAATGATAAACAATTAAAGGGGGCTAACTATTGTTATCTCACTGAAGCAGGTAGTGTGCTGGTATCTGGATATTTGTCCAATAATGTTTTACAGTTTACATGTGATGGTGAGCTGATAGGAGAAGTTATAAAAGCTGATAGTGAAAAAGAGGAAATAAGATCAGTCTGTTGTAATCAACAAATGACAAAGATGTGTATAAGTAGATATACAGATGACAACATTGAAGTGTTTGACATCTAATCATTAAAACAAATGATTCACAAAAGAAAAATATACATGTTTTTAAATAGATGCCTTTCTCACAAAATGTTTGCAAAGTGTGTAACATGTTTTATTCATTATAGGTGATAATTTCTTTTGAAATTCCCATTTTTGAATGCATCTGGTTTAACTGTTATTTGTTATATTACAAAAAAAAAACTACATAACTGTTGGAAAAATAAGAAAAAGTTCAGATGATGATAGTGTTGTTTAGCTTAACGAGTTCTATAAATTTAGATAGAATGAAGAAATAAACACAAAATGATAAATTTTTATTTATTACATGCCAAAAATAAAAATGGTATACAGTAAAAAGGAATCATTCTTTTCATTGATGCACATATACATATAGTGCAATGCTAATATTTAACCTATTTTGATGTTTGAATAACACAATGATGTTATGTTACATTGTGATGACACTAGTGTAATATTCATTTTCATTTAATGGCTTTTTTATACTTCTGTGCATGAATGAAATAAAATTCTATTTAAAATCCTCTTTAGTCATTACCTCAACCCCATAATGCATTAAGTTGGGTAAATCATGCAAAAACCAAATATCTAAGATAATAGTAAATAAATGATGGCTTTAAAGCAGCATGCCTCCAGAAGATGACAGAAAAACTACTGTCTTACAATTAATTCAAAATACCTAGTTGAAACAAATTGCAGTGACACTTCAAAATGTTCATAGTTTAACCTTTTTGCTCTGAAAACTAACAGTTCGCTTTTCCCCCAATGGGATATACCTTCTTTTATTATAGTATGGAGTTCTTTCATTCATTTTCCTAGTGCTATGTGATGGTACAGGACAATATTGCCACCTGTGATCAGGAACACATGGAATCAAGATCGTATCAAACATAGAGGGAAACGAATAAATTATTTTGGTTTTGCTATTTGTAATAGTTTGTGATTCTAAAAGTTATACTTGATTAATCATATAATATATCTAATAACCAATATAACAATTAAAACTTTAGCTTTAAATATGATTACGGTTTACACATACATTAACCCTTTACCACATATATACGTGAAACAACGCACTTTCGCCCCCCCGCCCCACCCCCTTCTTTTAGGCATCAAATAGTGAAAAAATGTCCTATTTGGGCCCCAAACACATGTTTTCGCTTAAGAAATGTTGCTAAAAAAAGTTTTCCCTTCTGTTTGGGGGGTTTGAAGGGGGCGGTAGTCCCCCTCATCACCAAGAAAATTTTGAACTTGTGAGAGGCTAAAAATGACCCCAGGTCGATCATAACGTAACATGTAACCAACGCCGAAAAGCCTTTGACTATCTCAATCCTTTGAGAAGTTGCAGCACTTTGAAATCAATTTTGATGGAAAAAATGAAAGCAAATAGTGATTTTTGGCAATTTTGAGACGTCCCCTCCTTGCTATGGTAACAGGAAATTTAAGACTGAGCATGTCATTACAAAGGCAATGGTCCAGTCAACATTTGTGCCAAGTTTGATTATTATTGAAACATTTTTCATAGTTTCATAGCAGTTTGAACTTGTAACAGGAGGCTTTTCAATGAAAAAGGCCATTTTTCACAATATGCTGATGAGGGAAAGGGTTAACAAACATTTATTTATGACCCTCCAGGGATTTTTCTGAACCTTTGGACTGTGACACGTGACCATGCTGAATGATTTATTTTCTACTGTGTTAGTAACGCAGTAGATTAATTAAAGAAGAACTAGGTCAATATTGTTGTAAAAGATACCTGTCAAAAGCTTTTGATGGACATGTGGGCCTAAAAGATAAGCATAGCAATTAGCTCTAAGTGTAATCTTGACCTTTGAACTGGATTATGTATGAAGCAAAACATTTAATGGTGGTGAACATTGCTACAAAATATCATAACAAGAGGGCTATTATGGCCCTAAATAGGTCACCTGGGTCAGAATACTTGTTCATTTGGGTTTTCAGTAGACACACATTAGAAGATGTTTCATGCTTAACATGTAATATCATTGGGTTTTTAAAAGAAGATTATTTAAGTTTCTGGATGAAACTGGCTTAGCAGATTATGAGGAGATGTGGTTTAAAGTTAAATTTTGTGCACAGAGGGACGCCGGCCGGACACAGGAAGAAAAGCGATCACAAAAGCTCACCATGTCACTTTGTGACAGGTCAGCTAAAACACAATACATGTTTGTACCGGTAATAGAGCTCCACCTTGGGTGAAATTTTAGTTCTCGGGTTTCTAACATGCACTTTTACCCTGAGAGAAATGTTATTTTTACAACAGGGCCATGATGGCCCTGAAATCACTCACCTGAATATAAAACATCTCCATGAACAAGAATAATTTTGACCCGAGGAATTTATTTGAACAAGCTTGGTTAACACCCACTAATAGATGTTTCATGCCAAATATCAAAGCGCTATCTTTTTGGGTCTTTTAAAAGTAGATTTTTTAAGTTTTAACTATATACATATAAGGAAAATCAATGACCCCCCCCCCCAGTCCCGGTGCAGGGCCAATTTTGAGCCCAGAGCTTTTATTTGAACAAACTTGGTAGACACTCACTAGAAGATGTTTTATGCTTAATATCTTAGTCCTAGCCCTTTTGGATTTTAATGACGATTTTTTCAGTTTTTACTACATGTTTACACTTTTAAGGAAAATTAATGACCCCCTGAGTGGTGACCAATTTTGGCCCAAGGGCTTTTATTTGAACAAGCATGGTAGACACTCACTAGAAGATGTTTCATGCCAAATGTCTAAGCTTTAGCTCTTTGTGTTTTTTTAAAGAAGACTTTTAAGTTTTTTACTTAAAATTGGCTTAGTGGTAAAAGTTAATAGATGACGGACAGACGCACAGCCGGACGCAGGACGAAAAGCTCTCACAAAAACTCACCTTGTCACTTTGTGACAGGTGAGATAAAAATTCACTCATTTCTTTTTTCCCCAATTAACCACTTTATTCATGCAAAATAACTAAATAATGAAAAGTGTTGCACTGCTTTTTTCTCAAACCAGGATAAAAAATTATTTCAAACTTCAATTCTACTTTATATTTCTTTATGATCTTTTGCAGACTTTTCTATTTTAAGTGTCTTAATTGATTTATGCAAGAATTTCAATTTTTTTTAAGGTGTTTTTTACCAGGTCAGTTGAGCTCCCTTAAAAATATTTCAATTTTACATTACAGAATGACTTTCATTTTATACAAAATAATGATCAGGTAAATGCAGGGTGAATATATACTCGAAATAATTGATCGTGAAACTCATAAAAAAATTCAAGTTTACATTACCTCAGCATGACTTTCATCTTTTTTCACAGCAGCTTCAAACAATAATACAGCATTTGGTATATCTCCTTGTTTCAACTTCTCTAGACCAGCTTGGAAAGGATCTGGGTGATTTATTAATGGGTTGTCTTCTTCAAACTTGTATTCCTGTGGATCAAGCCAATACTAATTTTATACAGGATTAACACAGATTGCCTTTCTGAATAATAAATATTGGAGATAAAATACCATATTTATTGCAAAATCATATTATTTGTGGGGCACTAATTTTTGTGGGTTTTTTTTTGTGTCAATCCATGAGTTACATATCGTACAAAATTTTATGTTATAGGCTATAAGATTTATTGTTTGTGTTACATTATTTGCATATTGCTTTTTTGCAAAGACAATCCACAAAGTCAAAAATCACGAAAATTTCCATTTTTGACAAAACCACCAAATTGCGTACCGAGAAAATTAAGTGAACTCACAGTTTTTATCTAAAATATTGATACATACTGATAGTGTAAATGACAAATATATGCGCTTGTAGAAGATTCAAATATCTTTCAAGTACTGGATTGATTTTGGCATACATACTAGGTACATTTTTTTCAGAATTTACATATTAAGTAAACCAATGAAGCAATTTCCCCAAAGGCTGTGTGTCTTCAAACTGTCAACCCTGCATTTTCTTCCCCCAAAAACAAAGTTTTATGAAAAAACTTTTTTAAAGGATAAAGGCATTGAAAGTTGTTTAAACATTTTTTTGGGGTTTTTTTTCAAGCTTAATCTAAAATTTACTTTAAAATTTTTAAGGGTTTAAAATTTTCTGAATTTTAAATAAAAAAACTTTCAGAAAAAAATGAAAATGACCCCACCCCACTTTTGTGTAATCAACTTGCCCTGAATCGAATCAAGATCAGTCCAATGTCAGATTGTAGGGTTTAAATATCAAAATTAAAAGAGTTGTCTGCAGGATAAATTTTGTGCTAGAGTTGTAAACCTTGTCACATATGATGTGGTTGATGACTAGAAACTTATATTTAAAGTTTGAAGAAAATACATTAAGAAATAAAGAGCTTATAGTGAAACTAGAAATGTGTCATCATGCCACGGATGCCCCCACATGCAGCCAAAATTTCAAATGTTATAATATTTAGTTCCAAATTTGTTTGCACAAATTATTTTTTTCATTCTAAGTTCAAAGCCCTTAAAACTTTTCAATGTTAACACAAACCATTTTTATACAATGTTCAAGCACTGAAATTATTCAGTCTTACCTTTTAAAAAGTAGCATATTGCATTATTTGTAGCCAACATAATGGCTATATATACATTTCCACAAAAGTATGAGTGCTGAAACTGAAAGTTCAAAATTTTTCCAACATTCAGGAAAGATAAGTTTGTCTAAAATCATTGAACCACGACCAAATTCAAACTTAAACTGCTTATTCCTAAGATGTATCTATATTATTTTCAAAGTGAAAAGGACATAACTCTGCCAAAAAAATCATCGAACCATGACCAAATTCCAACTTGACCTGCGCATTCCTTTGACATATCCATATGTCAATTTTGAGTTGAATATGTAACACTGTTGGGTTGATAATGAACAGAAACTGTAAATTTCATATCATTTTCAAAGTGAAAGGGGCATTACTCTGCCAAAATCATTGAACCATGACCAGATTCGAACTTGGTCTGCGCATTCCAAAAAACATATCCATATGTCAAATTTGAGTTGAATGTGTAATATTGTTGGGGAGATAATAAAACGGGAAACTGAAAATTTCATATTATTTTTAAAGGTGAAAGGGGCATAACTCTGCAAAAATCATCGAACCATGACCAAATTTGAAATTGACCTGCGCATTCCTTTGACGTATCAATATGTCAAATTTGAGTTGAATGTTTAAATACTGTTGGGGAGATAATAAACAGAAACTGAAAATTTCATATTATTTTCAAAAGTAAAAGGGGCATTACTCTGCCAAAAATCATCGAACCATGACCAAATTTGAAATTGACCTGCGCATTCCTTTGACGTATCAATATGTCAAATTTGAGTTGAATGTTTAATACTGTGGGGAGATAATAAACAGAAACTGAAAATTTATATTATTTTCAAAGTGAAAGGGGCATAACTCTGCCAAAAATCATCGAACCATGACCAAATTTGAAATTGACCTGCGCATTCCTTTGACGTATCAATATGTCAAATTTGAGTTGAATGTTTAATACTGTTGGGAGATAATAAACAGAAACTGAAAATTTCATATTATTTTTTAAAGTGAAAGGGGCATAACTCTGCCAAAATCATCGAACCATGACCAAATTTGAACTTGACCTGCGCATTCCTTTGACGTATCTATATGTCAAGTTTGAGCTAAATGTGTTGTACGATTGGGAGATAATGAACGGAAACTGAAAATTTCATATTATTTTCAAAGTAAAAGGGGTATAACTCTGCCAAAAATCATTGAACCATGACCAAATTTTAACTTGACCTGCGCATTCCTTTGACGTATCCATATGTCAAGTTTGAGTTGAATGTGTTGTACATTGGGGAGTTAATGAACGGAAACTGAAAATTTCATATTATTTTCAAAGTAAAAGGGGCATAACTCTGCCAAAAATCATCGAACAATGACCAAATTTGAACTTGACCTGTATTTTCTCATGACATATCAATATGTCAAGTTTGAGTTGAATGTGTTGTACCGTTGGGGAGATAATGAACGGAAACTGAAAATTTCATATTATTTTCAAAGTAAAAGGGGCATAACTCTGCCAAAAATCATCGAACCATGACCAATTTCGAACTTGACCTGTATTTTCTCATGACATATTCATATGTCAATTTTGAATTGAATGTTTTGAACCGTTTGGGAGAAAATGAACGGAAACTGAAAATTTCATATTATTTTCAATGTAAAAGGGGCATAACTCTGCCAAAAATCATCGAACCATGACCAATTTTGAACTTGATCTGTATTTTCTCATGACATATCCATATGTCAAATTTGAGTTCAATATGTGCAAGGGTTATTAAGATAATGAACGGAAACTGATGATGACAGAAGGACGGAAGGACGGAATGACGGAACAGGGTAACACTATATGCCCCTGCCATTACATGGCGGGGGCATAAAAACGTAAAAACTAGAATCAGAAATCTTGAAATTCAGTCTTTCCTCCCTTGAACTTAGAATTTTCATGAAAAAAATATTGTTTTTTTTAATAACTTCTTTTTTTCTGAATGTATCTACTTCATAGCAACCAGAATTTTCAACAAAGAAAAGAAAAGGATGTGCATAATCTCCATACTGCCATCTACCAATATTTCAAGTGTCATAAAAATATTTTCAGTACTTTTTGCGTTATCACTGGATCCAGATTATGTGTAAAATTTGCCATACTTTCAGTCTATTTGTTGCCAAAGCAACCAGAAATTTCAACATAGGAAGAAAAGAAAAAGGATGTGCATAATTTCCAGACTACCATCCATCCATATATCAAGTTTCATAAAAATATTTTCAGTACTTTTTGCGTTATCACTGGATCCAGGTTATGTGTAAAATTTGCCATATTTTCAGTCTATTTGTTGCCATAGCAACCAGAATTTTCAACATAGGAAGAAAAGAAAAAGATGTGCATAATTTCCAGACTACCATCCATCCATATATCAAGTTTCATAAAAATATTTTCAGTACTTTTTGAGTTATCACTGGATCCAGGTTATGTGTAAAATTTGCCATATTTTT